TAAATAAAGGGGATGTAAATAGTGTGCTGAAAATATCTAGCCTAGACAGGACTCGCAGCAATGGTTTTAAGTTGGAAAAATTCAGATTCAGGAAGGATATAGGAAAGTACTGGTTTGGTAATAGAGTTGTGGATGAGTGGAACAAACTCCCAAGTACCGTTATAGAGGCCAGAACGTTGTGTAGCTTTAAAAATAGGTTGGATAAATACATGAGTAGATGTGGGTGGGTGTGAGTTAGACCTGATAGCTTGTGCTAACAGGTCGGTTGCCGTGTTCCTCCCTTAAGTCAATGTGACCTGACCTGACTAGGTTGGGTGCTTTGGCTTAAGCCGGTAGGAGACTTGGACCTGCCTCGCATGGGCCAGTAGGCCTTCTGCAGTGTTCCTTCGTTCTTATGTTCTTATGTTCTTATTCTGTAAGAATTTTTTTTTTTTTTTTTTTTTTCAAAATTTCTTGGACACTGGGGCACCACTTCAGATTTTGGCCTTGGACCCTGAAAGGGTTAACCTTTCTTCATAGGACATTCCCTTTAGCTCTGGAACTAACCTTGTCGCAAACTTTTGCACTTTCTCTAATTTCTTGACGTGCTTGATTAAGTGCGGGTTCCAAACAGGTGCTGCATACTCCAGTATGGGCCTGACATACACGGTGTAGTGTCTTGAACGATTCCTTACTAAGGTATAGGAACGCTGTTCTCAGGTTTGTCAGGCGCCAATATGCTGCAGCAGTTATCTGGTTGATGTGTGCTTCCGGAGACATGCTTGGTGTTATATTCACCCCAAGATCTTTCTCCTTAAGCGAGATTTGCAGTCTTTGGCCACCTAGCCTATACTCCGTCTGCGGTCTTCTGTGCCCTTCCCCAATCTTCATGACTTTGCATTTGGCGGGGTTAAATTCGAGAAGCCAGTTGCTGGACCAGGTGTCCAGTCTGTCCAGGTGGCTTTGAAGTCCTGCCTGATCCTCATCTGATTTAATTCTCCTCATTAACTTCACATCATCTGCGAACAGGGACACTTCTGAGTCTAACCCTTCCATCATGTCGTTCACATATACCAAAAATAGCACTGGTCCTAGGACCGACCCCTATGGGACCCCGTTCGTCACAGATGCCCACTGTGATACCTCATCACGTACCATGACTCGTTGTTGCCTCCCTGTCAGGTATTCTCTGATCCACTGCAGTGCTCTTCCTGTTATATGCGCCTGATCCTCTAGCTTCTGCACTAATCTCTTGTGAGGAACTGTGTCAAAGGCCTTCTTGCAGTCCAAGAAGATGCAATCAACCCACCCCTCTCTCTTGTGTCTTATTTCTGTTACTTTATCATAAAACTCCAGAAGGTTTGTGACACAGGATTTGCCTTCCATGAATCTGTGCTGGTTGGCATTTATACTCTTGTTCCGATCCAGGTGCTCCACCACTCTCCTGACAATCTTCTCCATAACTTTGCATACTATACACGTCAGTGACACAGGTCTATAGTTTAGTGCCTCTTTTCTGTCTCCTTTTTTAAAAATGGGAACTACATTTGCTCTCTTCCATTCCTCAGGTAGTTGCCCAGTTTCCAGGGATGTGTTGAAGATTGTGGTAAGTGGCACACACAGCATATCCACTCCCTCTCTAAGGACCCATGGGGAGATGTTGTCCGGTCCCATTGCCTTTGAGGTATCGATGTCCCTTAGCAGCTTCTTCACCTCCTCATTTGTATGTATGTCATCCAACACTTGTTGGTATATTCCTTGCTGGTGTCCCCCTCTGTTTTGTCCCCCCAGAGGCCTTCCTGTCTCCACTGTAAATACTTCCTTATATCTCATATTGAGCTCTTCACATACTTCTTGATCGTTTCTTGTGAGTTCCCCACCTTCTTTCCTCAGCCTTATCACCTGGTCACCTGTGTGTGAATTCAGTAACGTGTGGGTCCTGGTCTTGCAGGAGATTTATACTGAAGTCACCTGAGAGTAGTAGGTGATCTTTATTCATGTGTGCATCAGTTATCATACTTCCTAGGTTTTCACTAAAACGGCTAATGTTTGACTGTGGTACTCTATAGATGTTTATCACTGTGAGAGATTTTTGTAGGTATTTGGATTTGAATTTAGCTATTATATATTCCCCATGTTCATCCCTTGTGCATGTATTATTGATACATTCTAGATGGTCCGAGTAGTATATAGTTGTGCCACCCCCTTGTTGATCTGGCCTACAGTTGTGTATGGCTGTGTAACCAGGAATGGCATAGACATCTGTAGTATCAGGCTTTAGCCAGGTTTCAGTGACAGTAATGATGGACATACTGGCATGCAGGGAATTTAGTAATGCCATGAGGTCATCGTAATGTTTGCTTAAAGATCTGATATTGTAGTTAAAGACAGTTATGTTGTTGTTGGCTCTGAGAAGTGCCTTTGATTGTTCTGCTATGTAGTAATTACAGTAACTGTTTGATTCATTTAAGTCATTCAATAAGAGGTTGGTATCAGGATCAATCTTTGTAATCATAAGATTTATAGTGAATCTATAATTAGAATTAAGTATAAGACAAAGTAAATATTCTAAAGCTAAAAAATAGCACCTTAATTATTTTAACACATGTAAATATATGAACTAAGGTAGTTCTTTAAAGGTAAAATAAAGGAGACAATATAAAAGGGACTAAAATAATTTGTGAACAAATGAAGTGGTGATCAAATAAAGGAGATTGGGAATATAATAGTAGGTAGTTCTTTAAAGGTAGTTCTTTAAGGTTAAAATAAAGGAGACAATATAAAAGGGAGTAATATAAGTTGTGGTGAACAAATAAAGTGGTAATCAAATAAAGGAGCTTGAGAATATAATGGCAAAATAATGAACTTATTACACTTTAGAACCTGAGAATAGTAAAAAAAAGCCATACCACGATTTCGTGAGTCATGTTGAGAATAGTACCTTGATTATTTTAGCAATTGTTAATATATGAACTAAGGTAGTTATTTAAAGCTAAAATAAAGGTGAAAATATATAAGGGACTAAATTAACTAATGGTAAACAAAGTTAAATGGACAGATAGGCACTATGATATAATATTGATTTGGGAGTAAGATCTGACTTGTAATATATAAATGATGTGCCACTCAACATAGTGCAACCAAAAATTAGTTTCTCTCATAGGGGCCCTGCCCCCTCCAAAATAAATTTTGGAATGCCATATAGTTTAAGACTTACTTCTGGGTATAAGGAAGCCTGTGGCAAAGTTTTGTTACACTGGCTTTCAATGCAACCAAGTTATAAAAAAAATTAAAACTCACAAATATATATATTGCAATTAGCAAATGAGTTTAAAAACTTAATTTTTTTTTATTTTTTTTTTATTATCACACTGGCCGATTCCCACCAAGGCAGGGTGGCCCGAAAAAGAAAAACTTTCACCATCATTCACTCCATCACTGTCTTGCCAGAAGGGTGCTTTACACTACAGTTTTTAAACTGCAACATTAACACCCCTCCTTCAGAGTGCAGGCACTGTACTTCCCATCTCCAGGACTCAAGTCCGGCCTGCCGGTTTCCCTGAACCCCTTCATAAATGTTACTTTGCTCACACTCCAACAGCACGTCAAGTATTAAAAACCATTTGTCTCCATTCACTCCTATCAAACACGCTCATGCATACCTGCTGGAAGTCCAAGCCCCTCGCACACAAAACCTCCTTTACCCCCTCTCTCCAACCTTTCCTAGGCCGACCCCTACCCCGCCTTCCTTCCACTACAGACTGATACACTCTTGAAGTCATTCTGTTTCACTCCATTCTCTCTACATGTCTGAACCACCTCAACAACCCTTCCTCAGCCCTCTGGACAACAGTTTTGGTAATCCCGCACCTCCTCCTAACTTCCAAACTACGAATTCTCTGCATTATATTCACACCACACATTGCCCTCAGACATGACATCTCCACTGCCTCCAGCCTTCTCCTCGCTGCAACATTCATCACCCATGCTTCACACCCATATAAGAGCGTTGGTAAAACTATACTCTCATACATTCCCCTCTTTGCCTCCAAGGACAAAGTTCTTTGTCTCCACAGACTCCTAAGTGCACCACTCACTCTTTTTCCCTCATCAATTCTATGATTCACCTCATCTTTCATAGACCCATCCGCTGACACGTCCACTCCCAAATATCTGAATACATTCACCTCCTCCATACTCTCTCCCTCCAATCTGATATTCAATCTTTCATCACCTAATCTTTTTGTTATCCTCATAACCTTACTCTTTCCTGTATTCACCTTTAATTTTCTCTTTTGCACACCCTACCAAATTCATCCACCAATCTCTGCAACTTCTCTTCAGAATCTCCCAAGAGCACAGTGTCATCAGCAAAGAGCAGCTGTGACAACTCCCACTTTGTGTGTGATTCTTTATCTTTTAACTCCACGCCTCTTGTCAAGACCCTCGCATTTACTTCTCTTACAACCCCATCTATAAATATATTAAACAACCACGGTGACATCACACATCCTTGTCTAAGGCCTACTTTTACTGGGAAATAATTTCCCTCTTTCCTACATACTCTAACTTGAGCCTCACTATCCTCGTAAAAACTCTTCACTGCTTTCAGTAACCTACCTCCTACACCATACACTTGCAACATCTGCCACATTGCCCCCCTATCCACCCTGTCATACGCCTTTTCCAAATCCATAAATGCCACAAAGACCTCTTTAACCTTATCTAAATACTGTTCACTTATATGTTTCACTGTAAACACCTGATCCACACACCCCCTACCTTTCCTAAAGCCTCCTTGTTCATCTGCTATCCTATTCTCCGTCATACTCTTAATTCTTTCAATAATAACTCTACCATACACTTTACCAGGTATACTCAGCAGACTTATCCCCCTAATTAGTGTGCATAAAAACCCATAGACCAAGCACTTGGGTCATCAAGTAATATTAAGTGCCTGAAACATTAGTCTCTATCCTGACTATTATAAGAACAAATAGCTAAAGTGATGAACAATGTACCTCTTGTTAGCCATGAGGAGCCAGAGAGGGAGGATGAAGCACACAGTGGAGAGCAGACAAGATAATGTGTGGTGTCATATCCACCCTCCCTGACAACACCTCCCAGTCGTCAGTTTCTACAGCTTTCATAATTCTAACAATTATCAAAGAATCTACCCTGAAAAAAATTAATTTTAGCCCCAGGAATACTTAGTTCTTGCCCTGAATGTGTTTAACTTTGTAGTCCCAAGAGCGGAGGCTGCTACACCCTCCAGACCTAAACCCCAATTTCATATGCCTATGTCTAAATACTGCAATTACACAGCAATTTATAACCACTATAATAATTTATAAATACTAACCTACAATTACATTCAGCAGTGAAATCTATATAAAATACAGTATCAAAGATGAATAATGAAACATCAGAATTGGATAAATGTAAGGAAATAACCAACTACTGTAGTTGTATACTATTTATCCACAAACATGCAATACTCACACAATTATGCCTTGTGCCAAGAAAGAAACACAAATTAGTTATCATCATCTTCAAAGTTTGCCTCAGAATTACTAAATAAATACTCTTCTGCCTAATAACTGCAAGATACAAGTATCAATTCTCAAATCTATTAAGGTGATACATACTACTTAAGGTTTAATGTTCCAAAAAGACAATTACTCATAGAAATGACTACACAAGTTTTAAACTGATAATGAATCAATTTGTGATAAGATAGAACACATAGTGCCACTTCACAGTAAGAAGGTCAAGACATCTTTAAGATAAGAATCCAGATCTACATGAAGCATTTAACTCAAGTGATGTATTGAATTAATAACTAACACCAGTTCGGCTAACACACAGAATATTTCATGTTCCTACACACTATGTATTGTATATACAGCACTGTAACAATACTATATGTACACTTTATTGTTGTAATACCTTATTTCAAAACTATACATTGGCTCCTGATACATACAACTGTAGTTATTTGACCCAAAATACAATTGCTCATAATACCATACTATCCAAAAGGCCTGGAAAGCACAGCTTTTAGGCAGAACAAGAGTAATATTGTACAGTTTATAAAAAAAAAAGCAGCTATTTTTTGGTACCAAAAAAAGAAACGGTAATAGCTTACTACTGCCAACTGGCCAATTTTAGTCTACAATTACAGTATGAATTATAAAATATCAAGTTGGAAATAACCCAAGCTTACCTCCACCATGGTTATATATTTTGTGCTACCTCACTACTATAAATCTTGTTCATTATAAAATATTTTGGCTACCTCACTTTAGTAATAAGGTAAAACAATGAGTAATTAAAATTTACCACTCCATAACCTATGTCTAGTTTTAAGTAGTCTGTAAGCACTAGGATTAGTCTGCCCATAATACCCTGGCATATTACTGGCTTTCTCTGTACTTAATAACACTTTATAAAATGTAAATCACACATTGTAACCTTAGCAATGAAATAAAATTTGTTTGTTTATTTGTTTATGGTATTGAGCTGGCACATGACCCGACTGAATACTAAGCATTTATTGGATGAGATGTGCTGCACAACCCAAATATAAGAACTATTTTTTGCTAATATCTCCCAAAGTAACACAACAAATACCTATTCCATTATGTACATAAGTTGTAGTTATGTACTGTTGAGGTTAATGCTACAAGCTAAGCCAATGATTAAATGGTGGACTGTTAAGGGATTTAGCTTGACAGACAGCTATCGCCTACACAGCCGTCCCTGCAGGCGATGTCTTGAGAAGCTGTCGTATGCACTTCCTCATGGGCTGGAATTTAAAATCATGAGTGAGTAATTACCCCTAAGGGGTGTTATGTCAGTATTTTTCATTACTGAATACTGACTGGATCCATTGAATCCTATACTCATGTGGACTCAAAAGTCTGCACCTCACTGCTGACTATAGGATGATTTCCAACTCCCTGTGACACAAGGACAAGAACTGCGCAGTCCCCAATATGAACAGACAGTTGGAAACTCACCTTGCTCTTGTAGCGTGAGCATGGTGTTATAGACACCTTCGACAGGTATAGGTGACTTGATAGAAACCGAAGTGTCCTTGGATGTCCACGCCTTCCACAGTTTAGGAATACGTACACTGGTACACTATGTTCCCGGTGTCAATGTGCCCCTCATTAGGGTTATAAGCAATCTAACTAAGACGCCTCTCGCCTCCCTTCGCTTCCCGACACACAAAAGAAGTGCCGATAAAGCATATTTCCCCTGCTTGCCAAACTTCCACTAGGAAGCATTGCAGAATGCTTAATTCTTGCTGTCTGGTCATACACAAAAATGTACACTATCTTTACCATGGTAATAAAGTGGGTGCAGGATTTTCCTTAATTTTCCTGCTAAGGTAAGAGATTGATTGTCTCTTATTAAAATACACTACTTGCAACACTGGTCTCTTGCAAAGAACCGCATGACTGTGACACATGCTCGTACTGCATCTGGGATCATTTACTCAATGTAGCAGTAAACAAGATGCTTGCCCCTTCTGAGAGGGCTGGGCCCCTCAGGGCTGGAGGGCTGAAAGGGCTGAAGGGGGCTGATACCCCCCCTCCTGGAAAAAATTTCTCCACACTGGGGGGCGGCGGAGGTTCGCTGCAGGTGAACTATTCATCACTTAACATTAATTTGATTTTCTCACTCTCCACCACTGCTGCTTGTCTTTTCTGAACAGCTTTAGTCTGTGTGGTTTCTGGAGAATCACTAATTTTGTTTTGCAACACTGTGAAATGCTAACAGCACTAGTTTATTTATTGTCCACTTATTCACTACACCTTTACTCAAAACATAACTGTCCGGATGATTCCATTTGCATTAGGATATGTGGTCACAATTTTTCCAAGCGGCCATTGGGACCTCGGACCATCGTTGTCAATACATGTAATCACTATGTCTCCAGGTCTTAAGGACTTATGATTTTCAGGAACACCAGCTCCAAAGAAGTGTTCTCTCAGTGAGGCAAGATAGTCTTCTCGCCAAATTCTCTCCCAGCGTTCAATCACTTTATTAAGGTGTTTGAATTTATGCCTGAGTTGCTCAGGTTCGAAATAAGTAGGATCCTCTATGATTTCTTTAACATTCATGGGAGGAACAGATTTGAGCCTTCTGCCATGGAGCAAATGAGATGAACTTAACACTTCTATATTGTCCAGATCATCGGTAACATAAGTTAGAGGTCTGTTGTTGACTCTATTTTCTATTTCAGTCACAACTGTATGAAATTCTTCTAAGTCAATTGTCTGACGATGAAGTCTTCCTTAAACAACGTTTTACAATGCCGATCATTCTTTCATAAAATCCACTGTGCCATGGAGATTTAGGAGGAATGTATCTCCAATGACAACTGCATTGATTCAGCATCTGTTGTACTTCTGGATGATCAAAGATCTTGTTTATATAAGCAGCACCAGCAACAAAGTTTGTTGCATTTTCTGAAATCATCAGTCTGGGATATGTCCTTCTGGCTGCAAACCTTCTGAATAATTTGATAAAGGTTTCAGCAGACATGTCAGTGGCTACTTCTAGATGTACTGCTCTAGTCATAGCACAGGTGAACAAACAGATGCACACCTTGATGGGAACTTTGTCAATTGTTTTGGTTAAAATTACTGGTCCAGTGTAATCTACACCTGTCACCTCAAATGAAGTGACATGACAAACTCTTTCAGAGGGATATGGAGGTGGACCTGGATACTGACATACTCGCATATCGTAGTGACGGCAAGTAATACAGTCCCTTATGTGTTTTTTTCACATTTTGTCGACCTTGAGGTAAACAGTAGGATTGTCATATATGACAAAGTGTGTCAGCTACCCCACCATGTAACACGTTACTGTGGGCATTTTGAGCAATCAGTTTTGTTAGCCAATGATTCTTGGGGATCAATATTGGATTTATGGCTTCTTTAGGTAGTGAAGAATTATGAAATCTTCCTCAACATCTTATTATCTTTTCTGAGTCAAGATAAGTCCTAAAGAATTAATCATAACAGGTTTCTTTGGGGGATTTATCTTGTATTTCCAGAAATTTATATTCTGTAGAGAAAACATCTTTCTGTATTAGTTTCACCCAGTATTTAATGGGTTCAAGATATTCATAATTAGGTTTTATTCCTTTAATGAATTTAAAGACAAGAGCTGTAACTCTTAAGAGTTTACCCAAAGATGAGTATTTAGATCCATCAATGACTATTTCTGTTGTGTCTGAAGTATCTACACAGATTATTTCTGCTGTGTTCAAGCAAACTGTTTTTTCTGGCATAACGTGAGCTTTTTTTGCTGAGGCCAGTTATTTTCATTAGAGAGCCAGTTCGGTCCGTGGAGCCATAATTTATTATCCACAAATTTCTTGAGTGGGACACCACGTGACAACATGTCAGCTGGATTCTCTTGGGTAGAGACGTGGAGAAAGAGATAATCTCTCTGCATCTCTCTTATTTCTGCTACTCTATTCTGTATATAGACCAACTTACTCTTATTATTTCTTAACCACTGGAGAACTGCTTCATTATCACTCCAGATCACGGTTTTTTCAAAAGTGAGATGATCAAGTACTTTGTTGACATAGACAGCTAATTTTGCTGTCAGTTCCAATTGTGGTATTCTGACCTTCAAGGGTGCTACCCTGGCCTTTGAAATAATTAGTGTACTTCCTTTAGCACTGCTCATGTAAGCTACAGCGCCATAACCTCTGGTTGATGCATCACAGAACACATGTAATGTGTACTTGTTTCCCTCTTGACCTATTTGTCTGGGAAATTGAATTTGATGAAGTTGTTTGAACTCCTTGGATATTTCATCCCATGCTTGTCTCATTTCTAGAGGCAAGTTCACATCCCATCTGATTTTGAGCTTCCATGCATCTTGCATAAGTATTTTACCTTTTATGGTAATTGGTGAGATGACTAGAGGATCAAAACATTGTGATACCTCTGACAGTAAACTACGTTCGGTGAGTGTACTCCATGTTTTATTGTTTATCCTTTTGAGACTCAAAGTATCTTCCTGTGTGTTCCAATTAAGTCCCAGCATATTGTTGCAATCAGGAATTTCAGCTTCAGGGAAATCTTCTTTGATAAGTTCCCTTAATTGCTTTGAATTAGTATTCCACATTCTTAGAGGCATACAG